AATAATCAGTGATGTATGGCTTTAGCCTGTCACTATGTTCAACATGCTTCATCTGTCATGTGATCTAACCAGTACATCATGAATAATCAGTGATGTATGGCTTTAGCTTGTCACTATGTTCAACATGCTTCATCTGTCATGTGATCTAACCAGTACATCATGAATAATCAGTGATGTATGGCTTTAGTTTGTCACTATGTTCAACATGCTTCATCTGTCATGTGACCATTGCAACTCATAACTTGATGGATGAAATTATTCAGTGAACAGTTAAAGGCCTGGGCAGCTGGAATGGGTTTGTTTTGTTTTGAATTTCGCGCAAAGCTACACGAGGGCTATCTGCGCTAGCCGTCCCTATTTTAGCAGTGAAAGACTAGAGAGAAGACAGCTTATCATCCCCATCCACCATCAACTATTGGGTTACTCGTTTGACAACGAATAGTGGGATTGAATGTCACATTATAATGCCCCCACGGCTGAAAGGGTGAGCATGTTTGGCGGGACGGAGATTCGACCCGCGACCCTCAGATTGCGAGTTAAGCGCCCTAACCACCTGGCCACAGTCATACCATATTTCTCTGCTCGAAGGCTTGTTTATTTATTGCCTCATCAATACATCTTTTCTACCCCTATGGTAACTTTTCCTATCTGATGACATACAAATTCATGTGTGTGTCAACTAATGCATACTTAACCACTCCATATATTCTTGTGGACATTGTAGTTTAACCAAATGATGTAGCAGGCCAGGACAGATCAGAATGCCACTCCTATACATTTTTTGGAGTTGAAATAAGTACACATCATTGCACTGCTCCTGTACTTTTGTTTATGATTAAAGCATGGTCATGTAATTGTAAAATATGGTTAAACTGTAGATACAGTATTTTATATAAGATTAAATTCGTATGTTTAAAATGCTGTATAAACTACAGATAATGGATATGAATTGTATTATTATGTAAGGTGGTTATATAAACTTACTTGATGAGTGGTGTCTGGTAATTATATATAAACTTAATGCCTGAAATGCAGCCTAGACGTACATTTCGATTCAATTGAAGAGCCAGAAATTTATTAAGATTTACTTGGTGCTTCAACACAAAAACATTTACCCCCTATACTACTGGGTTTAATTGCTCTATGGAATGAAGAATAAATCCCATGAATAGGGAGCTGTATTTCCTGAACTAACATGAGCATGTTTGGTGAACAAAAAGTTGACATCTGTTCAACTGTGTGATATGACATCATAATGTAAATAGTATGTGTTACCTATTCTGCTAAAACATCAGACTAGAGATGGTAGTGAAAAGTACAAGTCTTCACCACACCCAACACCTTACACAACTTAGACGATAATTGGATCTTGAAATCTGCTCCTTGCTCTGTATGAATTTCTCTTGGTGTTCCAAATATCGTTATCCTTCGCTCAGCTAACCAATTATCAACAATTTGTGCTAATGTGTCAACCAATATATGAGCTATGGCCCACATGGTTAAGCATTCAATAATGGCCCTACAATTACCGATCACCAATTTTAGCTTTCAGGCAAAAACCAAGTGGTCCAAAGCTATTTTCTCTAATGTAAATCAAACAACTCTCTATTGGAGTTTTCCTTGTTTTAGCTGGTTTTTCATTTGGGCAGCGTATGCAGTACACTGTTTACACCATCACTTTAATTCTTAACGAAATGAGCTAAAAAACTGCTATTACACATTAACACGCATGCTTAGCACCCCAGTAGCCCCAGTCCTTGTATTTTGCAAATTCTGAAGTATTTCTTGTGTGAGAGCTAAGGGGACCAGTTACTACTACAGCTTCAAATACACATTTTGATGGCTTACACCAACAGCACAGAACACCTACTTTCACTTTTAACTGCTTGTATAAATGTTACAGGTTGTGTGCATCTGCTCTACAAACCTCAATCTGTGGTGATCAAGATTAACTTTTCTGCATAGCACTTAGTGCCAAAGATAGATACGAGTCCTTCAGTTGTTCTTCTTGAAGTTGCTGAAACATCATTTAGAAGAATATATTACTGTATGGTTTGATATCTCAGCTATTGTAATACCTTTAACTACCACATTTTGTCCAGGGTCAAGATATTCAATGAATGGAAAAGCTGGCACTGTGAGAAAGCATTTCTATTTATTGACTGTATTATATCATTTCAGTGTTGCAACATTATGATCCAATGTTCAATCGGACCATTTGGATTTGAAAAATTCATGAGCTATTTCAGCAATGTATGGTTTACTTTAATGGTGAATTTTCTACCATACAAGTAGTGGCAGTAATGTTTGTCAAATTCTACAACTGTAAGCAGTCGTTTCTTTATTGTGCATTCTCTGCACTTGGCAGCAATTAACATATGACTAGCACATACAATTATACATTCTACTCAGTTTCACTATTGCTTGAATTAGATTATTGTCTTAGGTATGCTAAAACAGAGCTTCTATAAAAGCACAATTTAGTGACTAAAATGCTTGGTCACAGTCTTCATTCCACATAAAATGCAACTGAATACATTTCAGCTTTAGTAAGACCCAACAATGATGCATAAATCTTGAAACAGTTGTCACAAATAATCAATAATAAAACAAAAAAAAACCTAAGATGGTGTGGATTTCGCATTTAAAACTTAGGTTGAGGCCAGTCTCTTACCACAGCAATATTTGTAGGAACTGGTCGAGCCTCCATCTGTACCTAAAATATTATCAAGCATTTACATCTGTGGACACATGGGTAAGCACTTCCATGGTTTCAATTTCAAGCTTGCCTTTCTTACCCATTGAGCTTCCATGCTCAGATTTTCACTACCAGACTGATATGCATTATCAACCATCAAGACATCAATGACATTGATGAGACGCCTTTCTCATTGCAGCAATATTATTGAAAGCTACAATAGTTGATCAAAAGTGACGCTATTACATAGAATGAATTACGTGAAACTCATTCATATCACCCAAATGCTTAAAGAAAACTTAGTTCCACTCTCACCATCCAGGTCAACTTGCTAGTATTGGAAAACCATGGCTGGTGTGATGAGACTATGGGCACTCTCCAATACATCCAGAAATTAATCTGCTCCTGGGAGTCAAACGGCATCAGTGCTTATCACCATGTTCACACATCCAAAATCAACACAGAGCCTTGGCATACTCTTCTTCTCTCTAATAATTATTACTGTAGATTACGAAGAACTTTTTGAAGGTTGTATGATCCCATCCTTGATTATCTACTGTATTTAACCACTGACTATATCCCTAGTTCTCCAGAATAACATACATGGCAATTACGTAATTAAAGAGATGTCACTTATAATGTGATGGGGCGTTAATGTAATCTCAACTAAATAATCATCCAATTACACAGACTCATTGGTATATTCAACCAGAAATAAGCCGAGTTTCTGACACTGCATTGTATCCAGATTGTTTGCACGATATTCGGTTAGTTACTTCAGGTGTTATAGCAGCTGTGCGTTTGCTCTCATATACGTTGTGTGACAGAAGCAAGTGTAGTGGAATGGCAAGGATTAACTACTTCCACTTTGCTAACTCTGACAATAATCATTCCAGTAGTATGGAACAAAACATTAATCTTCATCGGACAACAACAATGGATTAGCCATCATAATTGTAAATCACAAAAAAACAACCCATGTATCTAGAAGTACTGTACATCCATCTTCAATTCATACATCTGTTGCAAAAAAACAACAACCCCAAAAAAAAAAACAGAGAATTTCGGCAGTAGGTCCATCCCCAAAATCAAAAGAACAGAATAAAGGCCTTGATGTAGTTGAAGAGGAACCATTCCATTTACATCTTGTCGATCATCATTCACTAGAACATAGTTAGTATCAACTGAATGGAGTGGTGATTTTACTCTCAAAGCACATGATACACTGTGAAGTTAACCACTTTCCTGGAAACTCTTTTATCAATCAACAATTTTATCTCATGCCTGTATTCTTCTATTGGCACAAACCAAACACCATTAAGCCCTGAATGAGCTGGGGACCACCAAACCTTTAGACACAAAGTTACTTCTGCAAACTCCCAAATCTGTGATAAAATCTGATCTAGGTTCTATTAGTATTTTTTAAACTACAGAAAAAGTAGGGCCCGGCATGACCAGGTGGTTAGGGCGCACGACTTGCAATCTGCGGGTCGCGGGTTCGAATTCCCGTCACACCAAACATGCTCGCCCTTTCAGCCGTGAGGGCGTTATTACGTGACGGTCAATCCCACTATTCGTTGGTAAAAGAGTAGCCCAAGAGTTGGCGGTGGGTTGTGATGATTAGCTGCCTTCCCTCTACTCTTACATTGCTAAATTAGGGACGGCTAGCGCAGATAGCCTTCATATAGCTTTGCGCGAAATAAAAACAAACAAACAAACAGAGAAAGCAACAATAATTTGATGATGTTCCTCCTGCATCTGCCGAGCAATTGAACAAAACTGAAAGTTTCACTTATTTTGTTGCAATGCATTTCATTTAAAAGTAACCTACCAGCCCACATCTAAAGCAGATGCTCTAATTCACCCTTCCAGGAGATCTACGGGTAGAACAATCTATGACTCTGAGCAGTCTTGTTCACTCACTGTTATTCAATGCTGTTGTGTTTATGTACCGTTATGTACTTGTGGTTTGGTAACCCTTAGTAGAACACAAGCGTTTTATAATGCATTCACCTCAGAAGAATGATCTGGCTGAGGTACAGCAACTATTGTTAATATTATTTTTAAGAGTTATACCAAGCTAACAACGTCAAACTTAATCTCCTTATATAGTCCTTTCTAGGTTTATTAGGCTAATGCAAGACTTTTTAGTTATTTCCGCTTCACCAAAATCTAAACATAAGACAGGAGGATCCTTCTATTGTTTGTCTGTTTAAAAATATTATGAAACGCTTTTCCGGTGCTGCACGTTTCCTGCCGGAAAAGTCTCCTACGCTTGCGCAGTGAAATCGGTCGCTCATCGACCGAATCACTACCTGTTACGCACAATGTCGTCAGTAAAGAAGGCGGAGGAGCAAATCGAGAATTGTAAGTTGAGCATATGTTTCTATATTTATATTTATTTTATCCAGATAGAGTCTATGAATATATATATCGAACTGTGATCTCACGTCGAAATTCAAGAACTGATAGCCGCTTGTTTCCCGTTTAATGTTTCCCGTTGCTGTGATATTAACGACTACATCGATCAATGTGTTCGTTATTTTCATTCGGCTTATGCGTTTTTTCGCTTATGTTGAAAGCTAGATGTTTTTGTCTACGAACGTGGCATTTGAACGAAGAGTTAGAACGAAAATAACTATTACTGAGAAAAAATTGAAAGAAAAAAAGAATAGGTCGGGCTTTTCTATCAGTGATAGCTCTGCTACTATTTGGAGCATAACTGAATTTATGTAGCATAAAAATTACTTCAAAACTGATATTATGCTGTATATCATATGATATTTTATTAATCATTAATTTTCATTCGCCTGAAAAAACTCTGTATCTCATTATTTATATGCCTCCCAGTGGCACAGCGGACTTACAGCGCTAGAAACGGGGTTTCGATGCCCGTGGTGGTCAGAGCACAGATAGCCCATTGTGCTTAATTACAAACAAGTAAATAAACATTATTTATACAACTCATGTATTCAACCCATCCTATAAAGATATAACGAAAGAGATAATGCATCAAAGATGTTTTCGTAATGTTTTGTGTAGGAGGCATGTTATAAAGTCAATGTAGCAATAAGAGACAGAACATTGATCTGTAAGTAGTGTCAGTTTCTACCGGAAGTAGCATAAGAAAATCTCAACCATAAAGATTTAGTAATCACCCCTATCCAGACCAACAGGGCCCGGCATGGCCAGGTGGTTAGGGCGCTCGACTCGCAATCTGAGGGTCGAGGGCTTGAATCCCCGTCACATCAAACATGCTCGCCCTTTCAGCCGTGAGGGCGTTATAATGTGACGGTCAATCCCACTATTCAGTTGCCGAAGAGTTAGTGGTGGGCGATAATAGCTACTTTCCCTCTAGTCTTACACTGCTAAATTAGGGACGGCTAACACAGATAGCCCTCCTTTAGCTTTGCACGAAATTGAAAAACAAACCAGACCAACAGAAATGTTCGCTGCATAATATAGACGATTTGTGCTTATATTTAAATAATTTTACTTCTTTTTTTTTTTTGGACGATACATTACAACACACTAATTTTGTTATCTTACTTGAAAGTACTTCCAAGTTCAGAGGTAAAAACGACAAGTGGAAAGATTTTGAAAAAAAAAAAACTTTCAACATAAGGGCCAGGCTTTCATAAGTGTCCAATTTGATTTCGCCAGTGTTATGGGGCAAATTTCTCGGAATACGTAATATAACACAAACATAATAATTTCTAAATGATAGACGATGGGACAGAGCTTTCCAAACGTATATAACATATTTAAATATGCTGCTTGTTTAATCAATACAAAGTTCCTAGT